CTGTGATTTATTACATTTTTTAGTCATATTTGTGTGTGTGTGTGTGTGTCCAGCAGCAAACCACCACAGAAAGCCCTCTGTGCTGATGGTAGATGAGCTGCTGTCTGCGTACCCCCACCAGCTGACCTTTTCAGAAGCCGGCATGAGGATTATGATCACGAGCCACTTTTCTCCAAGGACACGCCTCACCATGGCTTCACGGATGCTCATCACTGAGGTGAGGTCGCTGAAAGGCACACTGCTGCTGCTGCACTGTGGACTGAAAACAAAGACAGAAAAAAAAAGAGGTGGCTGTCGTGTCAAATATGAACACGAGTACTAAAGCCAGTTCTTAACTCTTCTCATAAGATCATTATCTCTTGTAAATAATAATATAATAATAATTCAACCTCTGATCAGAGCAGGAAAAGCAGAATACATAAACATCAGCTGGTGACCCTAAAAGACCCAACAGTGTTTGTAATTGAAGTTTGTAAGAAAATCATTCTAGCATTAATTAAACAAGCAGAATATCAAGAAGAGACAGTGAGCTGAAGGTGTTGAACTCATGTTTGGTCAATAATCTACGAAGATCAGTGTTTTATTCAAAATAAACTGTTTGCATATTAATGAGTTATAGCTGTAAGGGCAGCTTTAAAATGTTAATGTTTCAGTGGGCAGGTGCTTTGGACTAGTGATGTGTCCTTCTTGTCGAGGCTTCGAAGCGTGTCGAGTAATAGAAGAGGATTTTTGTGGAGCGTGTATCGAGGCTTGGGTTGGTGACGTGTGCAGTGACGTTCAAAGCCTCGCTGGCGGGTCGTACCACGTGACTGATTCAGGAACTGGCTCACCTGTATGCGCGAGATTCGAAAGAGGCAGCAAAACGCTGCTGAATCTCCCGTAACATTATGTTGTCATGAAATTGTATTGCGTGCATTTAAGTTATTCAGCTGAGCGACTTTTTGTCCGATGGAACCAGCAAGAAAGAGGAAATTTTCCCCGGTCTCCTAATAATAATAATAATAATAATAATAATAATAAT